GGATATCCTCGATGAATTCCCTTAGAGGACAATGGCTTAAATCGTTTTGCCGTGGTCGCAATCAAAACAAGGTGGCTTCAGACGAGGTTCTGTGGTTGTTTTCAGTGAAGGTTGCTCTTACGTGGAGGGTTCCAGCACAAAATTTCTCTACACTTCAGATAACTCTGCAACCCCCTCCCCTGGTGGGGGTGGTGGGGTAGGGGGAGGAAGGGGCGAACCGATAAAAAATTCTTTCTTGGAGTTGGTACTCGGACCAGAGATCAATATTTGGTCCTACCGGCCCGCTAAGACTAGAATTATACCACTTGCGAAATGACCAATTTTTTTTTTAAATACACCGCCGTATCTAGAGAACTATATTCTCTAAGATATGCGAGAGTAGACTGGTTTGAGGTCCGCCAAATACAAACCACGTATGAGGTGGCACAGACAAAAATTTAATTCAGTCACCTCGACGACATGTTTTCAATTGTCAACAAATCAGGCGTTTCAAATACAAATATTTGTACATATGTACTCCATTATATCTGCGTACACCTTCTTTTTTTAAATATTCACGATGTTTTGCAAGAAATAATTTTTTTATTGTTTTTGTGCAAAAATATGATTCATTAAATTTTAAACATTTCACTCAGATTTTCTAAACAAAAATTCTGGTACATATGCAGTTTTATAGTCCGTTCAATTTTAGTATAACAATGTACGTATTTTCTTCCATATAAAAAAAGTTCGCTCATACCTTGTATGGAGAAATATGGCAAGAGCCGTCAGCAAAAAAGAAATATTAAAAATCAACGCGATTTTTTAGCCACTTCAAACTTGTATTGAAAATTAGTTAAATTTGCCTTAATTTTGTATACAGATTGAAACCTTGATTTATTTGGCTTTGTGTATTCCATAAACCATGTTTTCGTAAAAAAAATAACAAAAAAAGTATAGCTTGCAAAACATTGGGAATAAAAATAAAGAGGGTGTACGCAGACATAGTGGTGTGAGTGTATATCAAATCAGGCGTGCCCTCCGTGCACATGCATACTTACCACCACCTGCTAGGACGCACGTTCGATGGCTTTACTAAAGCAGGGAGCACCGATTTGTATATGTTGACAGTGACAGAGTGGTGTTCCTACGATTTTTTTTATTGGGCTGAACTCCTTTTTTGTTAAACATTTCTAGACAAAGTGATTAATTTAATTAACACGGTGTGTAAATTTGCATTCATTAAGAGAGGAAACTGGTTACCTATCTTAATATGCGCAAATTTAAAAATTTTTTTTAGAGTGTACATAGTGGAAACTTCCCAACTAACTGCCATACCTAAACAAAAGCGTTGGGCGGAGCGTTTTCTGACACCTAGCGTTAACGCCGAAGTGCCATACCAAAACAAAAGCTTCAACGCTACGCCAAATGTTTGTAACACGAAAATTACAGTTTCGCCGTTTTCTGCAGCCAACTTCAATACCTAATGCCCTGTCAAAATCTGATTTTCAAACAGCTCAGCGTTGACGCCGCGTTGTTTCGTTATGCTTCATACAAATTGTATGGTCATGAGAATTTTTTGACAGCCGGACAACGCTGACGCTTTTGTTTAGGTATGGCAGTAAGAGAGTTCATGGTGAAGCGTCTTGCTCGAAACCAAAACGAAGAGTTAAAAATTAACTGTAGTTCTAAATAAATTAATTAGCATTCTCCTCAACAGAGACTCACTAAATATTGTATACATTAGGTGGCCCAAAATGCATGTCAAAAAGTAAAGTTGGAATTTTTAGGATTGTTCTATACCGAAAAATATACCCCTATTTCCTTATTTTTAAATAAAAAAATATTTACAGGTCGCTAAAGGCGCTCAAAGTTTTCCTCGTATTTTATATGGAAGAACACGACTTTTCGTAGAAAATCAATATTTTTCAATCGCAAACGTCTGTTTATCTTGAGGAGATTCCCAATAATAATACACAATTGTTTATTTAATCTTTTTTCCATAGACCAATAAAAAATCTTTAGTATTAACAAATGGTTAAATGAACAATTGGGTATTGTTATTGGAAGTCTCCAGAAGAGAACCAGAGTTTTACAATCGAAAAATTGTATTTTCAAGAGTTCTATACCATTTCTACGAAAAGTGCTTTTTCCCCATAAAATACATGGACAGCTTTGAGCGCTTTGAGCGACCTCTAAATATTTTTTGATTTAAAAATAAAAAAAGGGTATAGTTTTTTCGGTATGGAACAATCCTATGGAGTGAGAACATTAAAATTCCACTTTTCTTTTTTTTTGACCACCCTAATGTACATACATATGTACAGTTTTACTAATACAAAGAACAAAACTTAAGATTCTATATAAAATAAAACCCGACAAAGTGAAAAAATAAAAATACACCGGCAGTTTACGATTCGCAAAAGCTAATTTAGAACAAGAAAAAAAACCTGTATCAAAAAATAACTGCAACTCTTAGTACGGTACGCCCACTAGAGATTAATTAAAATTCATAATTTTCCGTACCGGAAATAATTTACAAATTGTATGTAAAAGTACAAACAAAATGAAATTGTTATTGAAAGTAAATTCAGAAAAGGCTCGCAAGCGATTTGGCATCCCAGCGAATTTGCAAACCTCATCAGCGAATGCAACGGCTGTCACAATAAAACGTTAGTACTGATTTGTGTACATATTCATTTTTTTGCTTATTATTTGTTAGTGAGTAATGTTTTTAGTAATAAAAAATAATGACTGGGCAGCTCTAAGTAAATGTTTTTATAAAACGAAAATAAACATTTTTAGGGCTTTCGCTATCTGTAGAAATTTAATTATTTAGTTAATTTTATTTTTATTATTTAAATTGACCTTTACACACAGAGTTTGAAACTACTGTACATGCGCATGTATTATGTATGCGTATTTATGTATTATTTTTACACAAATAAATTATTTACATTCAAAGGGACCGAGAATTTAAATTATGCATTTTTTCACAACCGGTTGCGGAGGCTTAGATCAAAATATGCCTACGAAAGTACTACAAGAGCTCTACGTGACTCGCAATAGTAGAAATAAATTATTATTTCCTTTTTTATGTTATATATATTTATCACTTCTCTTATATGTAAAAAATGTTGTATCTTATTGTACTATTTAATTACTTTTGAATAAATTGAATTGAATTACAATTGAAAATTAGTTTCAATTGACTGGTAACTTAGCATCTTTGATCGGGATTCAACGTCTAGTTTTTGGAACACAAGTTGAGCATAGTATAAGTATCCAATAACATGCACGTCTATATTAGGGTTGGTTGATTAGTTTAAGTGGATTGTCACCCTGTTGGCAAGCAATTGACAAGTTTGCCATTTTGATTCTACAACTCGTGCAACCTACATATAGTCATGTGGCGGCTTTAACAAATTTCGGTACATACGGATGGTTTGCCGAGTGTCTTTAGCTTAGTCCTTGGGACGGCTGGACACTCGCACAGGAAGTGTTTGACTCTCTCTTTTGAGTCCGGGTCATCGCAACTGCGACAGAACCTATTTAAGGGCAGTCCTATCCTTTCGGCTTTTAGGCATTTTTTTGCTCATTCCGAAGAGAGATTTGGTTTTATGTGGTTTGTAGGACACCCAGGGTAATCTTGTAAGATCCACATCTGCTTGGCCTTCGAGTAATACATTTTGGTAATTTTTCTCTTTATCTCCCTGAGCGAGGCGCCCATGTCCACCGCGCGGGACACATTCAGTGCAGAGCCGCTCCTTGCTAGTTTGCCCGCTGCTTCGTTTCCGTAAATTTACCTATGTGTGAAATATAGGCGAGTTCTCTCCTACATTCATTGATATCTAACAGAGGTAGAACCCTGAATGGCCACTTGGCTATCCGAGAGGGTATTCACCTGCGTTCTCTCCGGTACATTCTCTTTGATGTACCTTACTGCCTTCTTAACCGCAAACGTTTCAGCTTGTAAAACGTTTGCTTAGTCTGGTAGGCGGCGGGATAGCTTTAGGTTATATTGCTCAATCAAAACCCCTACATCAATTCCTCATTCTGGTGGTCTAGTCTATTTCCATATTGCGAGACTTGTCGCAAGGAATGTAAAATTTGGTTTGTGGAATTTCCGTTAATGCCACTAGTTGCTGGGTGCCGAAGAGTCGAGGCTCAGCGTTCTCTTCTTTGGCAGCCATAGTTAGGTCATTCGAGCTGAAATGAGTTCAAATACATTTGTTGATATAATAAGAAGTGATTGGCGCTCACACATATGTTAGTGTTTGGCTGAGTTTCTCCTCCGATTTTTGGCGTGCGCCTTGATGTTGTCACATGACGGTAGAATGAAACACCCAGGCGACCATTGAACACATGACAGAACTCACCCTTGCTCCGCGGGATATCCAGGGAGGAACCAGAGTAGCCGTGATCCATACATACATATACATGGTATTCTCTGCTCAAACTTCCATCACGACTGTACTCCCGGCAGCAGCGATAACACTCGTCTGTTATCGTCGCATTCTGAGAGAAAATTAGAATAGGGAGAAAGGAGCATAGCCACCAGACTCTCGCATTCAACCAGGGGCCACTGGTTTCAATGGACATTAGCTCCGTGTTCGGTTGAGAAGTACAGCAGAAGGAGCCCTGTCGGCAACCACAGCAGTCATTTGCTTTTTCTTCTTTTCTGAGTAAACGAAGCCCATTTCTGGGCGATTTTTGGCAGGGTAGTATTTCCCATATTCTAAGTAATATTTTCAAATCGAATAATAATATGACTTTTGAATTACTGGGGACCGTAAACACCGTAATTGTTTCCCAGCTCCTTAGTCGTGCTGCAGCTTTTCTGTGCCACTGCATAGCCCAGATTCACAGCAATGAACTCCCGTTTCGCGTGAACATTTGATTAGTTAATTTTAGAGTTACATAAATATTATTGCTCCTTATTCCATACTTAGATTTTCGCAAATGATTTATTCTTCTAAGAAATCAGCACCATCTAATTTTACGCAATATTTTCTTTTTAGGAATCAATCAAAACCGCACTACTGAAAATACCTCCATTTTACAAAAACTATCAACGTCTTCCAAACTTTTAATATTGCTCATTGTTGTGGTAGTAATTGTAGCTGGAGTAATTATTTACATTGAGATAGAACAAAACAATAGAAAGCCAGATCCCGGACCCATACTGTTCGGCAATAGCTATGAGCATGGCACGTGTAAGTATTTTGAAAGAGTTCGAAGACAAAAGAAATATGCAAACTTCAATACGATTACTAATATTTGTACATTAGGGTGCATCACTATATATACAAAAAAAATCAGTACTGTTTTTTCCATCGCAAAAATCTTTCGATAAAAATTTAAGATTTGCATGAACTGAACCGATTTGAATATACTTACCTCCAAAAATCGAATTTTTTATAAACAACTAAAATAAGTTTTAAAAAGAATTTTTTTTTTCGGAAGCATCACCTCAGATGATATAAAAGTTTAATTTTAAAATATTTGCATAAAAATGTTTAACAAATTTATTAACGTCATCAAAATAATGAGATTTTTGCTAGTATTTTTAAATCGGTACAGCGCACGTAAATCTCAATATTTTTCCGAAATAATTTCAAATAAAAGAAAATAACAAATTTTATGATTCCGTCGTGAAAACCGCAATTTATTTGGTGCGACACCCTAATGTAGGTACATACATATGTATGTATATATATCTGTGGACTTTTGGCAAAAATTGTTACTTTCGACCTGTAACCTTTTAATAATTATTTTTTTAAATTTCTTTTTATGCATATTTATTTTAAAAATTGTTTTAATGAATATGCTTTGATTAATATATCNAAATATTTTTCCGAAATAATTTCAAATAAAACAAAATAACAAATTTTATGATTCCGGTGTGAAAACCGCTACTTTTTTGGTGCGACACCCTAATGTAGGTACATACGTACGTACATATATCTGTGGACTTTTGGCACAAATTGTTACTTTCGACCTGTAACCTTTTAATAATTATTTTTTAAATTTCTTTTTATGCATATTTATTTTAAAAATTGTTTTAATGAATATGCTTTGATTAGTATATCATGTTTTTTCCAATAGTCCACAGATACACTGCGTTTTAACCATCATTTTGAAGAAATTTTTATTTTAAGTATCTTAGTTCCGAATTTAGGAAATGGACATCTGGTGATCGATCGCGATCAATGGGGCGCCTCGGAGTTGGCTAAAAATTTGAAAATACCACTTAAACATCCAATACCATATGTACTCATCACACACATAGGCGTCCAGTCGAAACCATGTGAAAATGTATACAGATGCTCGATTAAAATGCGTACAATACAAGACTCAGCAATTGCGGAAAAAAATCTACCCGACATACAGGCGAATTTTTATGTGAGTTGCATTTAGTTATATAAGCTACTTGTAAGTTAAGTATTTATGAAACTATTTTGACTTACTACTATTAGTGTTTGCCGCCAGTATTTTTGCTGTGAAATCAAGCCAGTAATTTATATTTCCCATGTTTTTCCAAATTCCTGCCACAATTGCAGAAATAGCATATACATACATATGTACATATTTATTAGGGTCTTCGATTATTCGGCTTCTTTCCCAAAACGGGTTTTCGAGTTATTCGAAATATGGCAATTTAAAAAAAATCTTTTCCCGATTTTGAAATTAAAAAAAATCCGAATAAACCGGTTTTATTTTACATAGTTTTCATATAGCGCAAATGGTTATGTTTTTATGAAGTCAAGACCAAACACTATTAACTGTAAATATAGCTTTTATTTAGAAAAGAGTAAAAAAATCAAGCGTAAAAAAAAATACAAATCAGTGAAAAATTCACGTCTGGTCCTATTTCAATCTTTTTTTTTAATACTTTATTGCCATTTTTTTTACTTCTTTTTTAAGTTTTTTTTCAAATAGCGGTCTCCAGTGATCGGACGTCTACCAGATTGTGGTAGATTTACCAGTCTTTGGAGCATGCACCACATCTACCACTCAAAGTCTGAAATCTACCACAAATTCGCATTTTTAAGTAGTTATAATTTAGCTCCACATAATTTTCTTTATTTTTTTAATTTTAAGAGCAGTACTCATTTAAAGTATCGCTGTAAAAATATGGGGTGCCCATCAATATCGCAATAAAAAGACTTGATATTCCAAGCATCGATACAAAATTCAAAAAATTAAATCTGAATATTGGTCTCATTTTCTATTAAAGAATTAACACTTTTCACTTAAATAAGTATATCACTGCAAGCGCGCCACATTCCAACCTAAGATAGTAAACATTTCTGCGCGTTAAAGCGCAAAATATATCCATATTGCTTTACATATAAATTCCAATGTAAGTAAGGTTATTCATAAGTATGTAGTACGACATAGATTTGCTAGAAATGGAATCCTAGCTTAGGCTCAAATTCATGTTTTATTTGCGTTAAAAATTTGTTTAAAATCAATATTAACTACAAAACTTTCAATAGAAATTTTAGTAAGATAACGTCACGTCGGATACTTCGGCTGATAAAAAAAGCAGGGCAGATTTTTACATTTAATGTAATTCGTGTCCCTAATAACAGGAAGGATAGTATACAAGATTTCCCATTCCCGTCAGCGATGAGATTTCTGAAGTAAAAGTAAATAATGCCGAATCGGAGGAGAAAAGAAACTGTCAAACAGTGAATTTTCTTAATGTCTTAATATTAATATTTGCGTCGGGAAACGTGATGTTATTGTTTGAAATTGCAAAATATATGATTTATAAAAAGATCTAATAAAGAAAATGTAAAAAATCTGCGATTTTTGTGAAAGTATTAGCACATTACAGTGCATCTAAACTTTTTAAGGCGTTGTTTACTTTTCCGTGAGGATTGTCAAAAGCGGAAAAACCCAAGTTAAAAGTTGAGATTCGAATTAAAAAGTTTTCAGTTTAGGTGAACCTTGCAGATTTTTTTTTTATTGTTATAAAAAGTTTGATCCGATACCTGGGATCTACCACATTTTTTCTAAATCTAACACATTTTTTTCCCAGAATCTACCACACAGAATTTTTATTAAGTCCGATCACTGACGGTCGCCCCTCGGCAGACAACGGCAAATATCCGAGTGTACTTCTGCCTTAAAAACTCTTCTTCGGAGGCGGAGTAAAAATGCTTATTTCTCCATTTGTGTCACATAAAGAAGCAGAGCACGAATTGAAGGAGAAGCTCTGCCAAGCATGTAGAAAACTTTGACGCGCCAAACATTCATTTCATTTCGCTCAGACAATTCGCTTACTGAATCACATATAAAGCGTTATTTAGTACAGAAGGCTGTCAAACGATAAGGTGACCATATTTCAAAAAGGAAGCTCGTTTTACAACGAATAGGGAAATACCAGCAAGAATAAGCTCAAAATATGGGAATAGTCTTTTAGTATAACCGCTATTAACCTTTCACGTTCCATGGCATTAGTCTCTGAAAGATAAATATAAGGTATTTTATTTTACTTTTTAACAAAACTAACGAGAACTTTTAAAGTATGGTTACCATGGTCTTTTTTACCCGTTACCGCTAACTTCGTCGTTTGCTTTGGTTGTGCGCCAGTATACGTCAGTGTGTTTTACTTTTCACAGCGAACATTCGTCTCGGGTGCAAACAGGTCCTTCTGTACTTGGTCCGTCCATTTCGTTCGGGAGTGCCCTTGATTTCGTTGTGATTCCATGGGTGCCGAGGCGAAGGATCTTTCAACTTGAGCGTCGTCATCTATGCGTACAACATGCCCAAGTCAGTGCAATTGTATTTTTAAGCGCTTAACTTTGTCATATAGTAAGGCTGGGAATATGCGTATATTTGGAGATGCGGAAATCCGTTCGGATATTCATGTATACGGATCAAATCCAGATATCCGGTAAATATCCATTCAATTGGCTACCCGGATTTTCTAGACAGTATTTGATTGGTGAAATTGTTCTCAAAATTACAGAGTCTATCAATTGGCTAAATAAGTAATAGAACTCTTCATTATTCCACAAACAATTGTTATACATATCCGAATACTCGGTTAATATGCATTAATTTTGTTATCCGGATATTCGGGTATCCGCATGTTTCAATTTTTTAACCATATACTCGTATATCCGGATTATCCGAACAGTAAAAAATCCGGATAGAACTTCCAGCCCTACCATATATGTATGTAGTTGGAAAGCTCAAACAAGTCGTTATTCCATCATCTTTAGTACCCGTCGCCAACGCGAACAGGGCCAGAATGGTTCTCCCGACAGCCCCTAAATCATTCTGCGATTCAGATTGTCAGCCCGTATAACGTTTTCTCACGTCACATTGAAGAAATCCCACCAAACGCCTTGTCGAAACCCTTGTTTTATCTCTAACGGTGCGGGGAGGTCCTTCCCAATTTGAACAGCGCTGAAGGTTGTGCTCAACGTCACTTTACATAGCCGTATTAATTTTGTCGAGATCCCAAATTTAGATATATACCGATCTATCTAAAGTGGCTTTAAAATTTGACGTGCTGTGAATTTATGTTTTAGGTTGAAGAGGCCTGGTCTGTAGCCGTATTGATAATGTAAAATAAGTTGGTTCATGAATGGTTTCAGTCTTTCACACAGCATCTTGTCTCTGCAACTGCGAAAAAAAATCGTTGGTTGGGTATCCTAACCTTTTAATATTTTGATGCCAGCAGGTTGAGAGTCTTCCTGTATTATATGGCTATTTTGGACGTTGTTCCGATAGATTTACAAGTTTTGATAACAGCCTGGCTGTCAGAATAAATAGCGATAGGCCGTACTGGAGGGGCGAGCGGCCTCCATTATGGAGGCTTAGCACGAGTTCACCAGCGTAAATCCCCCTAACCACTCTTTTGTTAATCTTGTACCCATCTGTATATGTAGCCGTCGACCCTGGGTTTAGGTCTGTGACACCTTCACATGCGTTCCTCTCTTTTGGAGCATTTGTTGTTTTAACGGAGAAGAGGGGTGGTATAATCTATCTGTCGTAGGTTAACTGGTAGAGTATCCGAATCTAAGGTTTGCCGTAGAGATCCACAGGTGATGGAATCTGTCCCTGCACTCGTTCGGCCACCACACCGTGAATCCGTAGAAAAGTAGGGGTCTTATTCCAGCTGTGTGCATCCAGTGTACTATGTGCGGTTTTATTCCCCTTTTTTCCTGTAGCCATCTTACCATCATGCCGGGCCGTATTGGCCTTCCTGGAGCCATCTTCGATGTTTTTCTTCCAGTCAAGATCCATGTCTAGAATAACTCCAAGGTATTTGAGTAAGTGCCAAACCGTCTATGGCGGGGGGTTGAATAGAGCAGTTTTATACTTCCTTGTGAAGAGTTTCGATCTTGGTAGGATAGACGCTAAGTCCACATTCCTTTACCAGATGTTTAAAAGACTTTGGGAATTTTTCTATAACTCACTCTGGACCTCCAGATGTACGGAAATGGTGCAACGGAAATTATGCAACGGAAATGGTGCAAGGAAATGGTTGGGGCTGAAACAAGTGCGTTGAGTGTAAGCACATGGTATTAATTTAACAAAAACTTGCCAATAAAAGGTTAAAGAATATCAATTAGAAAAAGACCAATACAAGAATGAAAGTAAAGATGAGTACGTACATAGACAAAGAAAAGGATAAAGGCAAACGTAAAAATAAAAACAAAAACAAAGATGCATAAAGATAAAGACAAAAATTAAAATCAAGCTAAACTTAAACACTTTACTTATATAAGGACAAAGGTGAAGCGGAATATGTAGATGAACAAAATGATAAACATAAAAGTAAAAACAAAGATAAATATAAAGAAAAAGATGAGGATGAGGATATCGGTAAAAGTAAAGACGAAGATAGAGGGAGAAAGATTAAATTAAAGGTAATTATAGAGAAAAGGATAGAGATGGAGACACAGAGACTCAATCTGGGAACTATTTTAGGATTTTGAAGATTCTCGTGACTTATCGATATAATAATCGATATTTTTATCGATTTTGTTATCGAAATTTTTATCGATATTGTTGTCGATTTTGCTATCGATATCTTCGGAACTGATCGATATAATAATCGATATTTTTTCCGATTTTGTTATCGACTTTGTTATCGATTTTGTAATCAATATTTTTAGCGATTTTCTTATCGATATTTTTATTCGTTTTGTTATCGATATTGTTATAGATTTTGTTATCGATATTTTTTTTCGAATTTGTTATCGATATTTTTATCGATTTGTTATCGATACTGTTATCGATTTGGTTATCGATTATTTATCGATTTTGTTATAGTTTATTTATCGCGTTTGATATCAATTGTTTATCGATTTTGTTATCGATTATTTATCGATTTTGTTGTCAATTTTGCTATCGATTTTGTTATCGATTATTTATCGATTTCGTTATCGATTTTCTAGTCGATTTTTCTTAAAAATATTACTATCGATTTTGTTATCGAAATTTTTATAGATTTTTTTTTGCCAGGAAAATAATTTCTCCCAAAAACCATCCGCCACAAAAATACTATCATTAATTTTCCAGAACATATACATTAGGACGGAGTAATTTAATTTCGAAAAAAGTGTATGGTACATGCGAATTCTACGTTCGCTTCTAAGCAAAAATGGTGAGCAAACTATATACCAAAAATGACGTTTGTTTAAAAGAAAAATCAGTATATTATAATTTTTTCTGAACGAAATTAATTTTTTATCTACAAACTTTTGTGTTTTCTTCATATTTCAGAAACTACTTCTCAAGTTCGTCATGTGTGTGTGTGCGCGTTCATTTCGTACAAAATTTTTTGGTACAATGAAAGATAAATTTCTGCCAAAAAATTTACAATATACTGCTTTTTCTTTTGAAAATTGGGAGAGTCAAACGTCATTTTTGGTATATAGTTTGTTCATAATTTTTGCCTAGAATTAATCGTAGAATTTGAATTTCTTCAAAAATTTTGCTCCGAACAAATTACTCCGCCCTAATATACATAAACAATATATGTGGATTTCAAATGTATATACATATATATGTATAATTGATATTAAATATTCAGCTCATCACTAACATAGTATACTTTTACAAAAATAAACATATTCAAAGGTCGGTGACGATGGCAATATTTACGTGGGACGTGGTTGGGACTATGCAAATACGTATGCAAACGACACCTTGGCTGTAACATTTATGGGCGATTACGGACGTTATGAACCAAACGAGAAGCAATTGGAAGCGGCCCAATATCTTTTGGCACATGCTGTTACCAATAAATATATTGACTTGGCCTATAAATTGGTGGCGCAAAATCAGGTAAATTATTCAATCAATTCGCTATAATAATAAGTATTTATATGTATATATACATACTCCTTTTGCACTTATTTAAGTATCAACATACTGTATGTGCATAACTTTCTTGAGCTATTATTTCAGTGTTGCCTACTTTATTGTAAACTAATAGTTAATGTGCAAAACTTGCGTTATCTCGTTGTAGACCAAAGTCACAAAAAGTCCTGGCGCCAATGTATATCGGCACATTAAGACGTGGTATCACTTTTATCCTTGTGGTATGGACGATCATCCGAGGTGCGGCGTAGAATTGGGTTTGCCAGATGTTTGGGATGGCAAAATGTAGCAACATTTATATGACAATTATGTTATTTACATAGTATTTATGTAGATATATATGTATATGAGTAAGCAATTAGAGATACATAAATTTAAGTAAACAAATAGATTTAATATCGTTTTTTGGTTGTGAAATATTTTCCTTTAAAAATTTATTACTTGTTATATGTATGCAAGTACATATGTATGCATGAAGATATACATACTTTTTATATATGCCCCTTATTCTTTATCACGCACACTAACGCATACATACATATACCTATACACATCTTTTTATGTACAAAATGTATTTTGAAACACTGTATCTGCTACATATATACATATAAGCCAATTAAGAAGTCACTGTTGAATTAAATATAATATTCTAATTCGTTTAAAAGATCTTAAATTTGTATCTGCATAAATAAATAAATGACTGATGAAGAGAAGTGTTTTATTATTAAAAAAGGTAAAATATGAATACATATTTTTAGCCGACTTCACAAAAGGAGGAGGTTATCAATTCGTCGGAATATTTTTTTCTAAACTATGATTGCCATGTAACTACTATGTGCACTAGGGTGGTGCAAAATAAGTAAAGTTGGAATTTGAATGCTCTCAACCCCTAGGATTGTTCTATATCGAAAAAAATTTACCACAATTTTTTATTTTTTTTTTAAATCAAAAAATATTTAGAGGTCGCTCAAAGTTCTCAAAGATTTCCAAGTATTTAATATGGGAAAAGACAACTTTTCGTAGAAATGCAACTGTTTAATGATTTTTGGAGAACTATAATTTACTGCCATTAGGGTTGTAGGTTAGAGTGGTTGTAAGTAACAAGGTTCTTGAGCTCAGTGAACTTTGGAACAAAACAATGTATCCTCGTGACAAGAACATCCATGTATATTATTCTTAAGATACGACTTAGCAAAAGTTTACTGATATTAGGGCGGTAGAGGAATCTTTTTTGTCTGGTGCGGTCTAATGAATATACGTAAAAAATCAAGTAGACCCGGGAGACATTTTCCTGCTTTAAGTTAATTACTTAATGGTCAACATAACGCAAGAAAGAGAAGATTTGTCAACCTGTTTTTTGAAACGTAAGTATGTATTTCATTGCGGAAAAAATGTTTTTTGTACTTGTTACTAATTTCAAACAAAAAAAAACGTTTTTTTGTTTTTGCTATGGAAGTTAAATGATGCACCATTATTGTTACAATGTACAAAATTATATTGCCACATATGAATAAAACTGAAAACAACACAACACGCTGGTGTTAGCTTCAACAGAGTGCGAAAATTGTTTTTTGGCCCATTCATATTTCATCGTTAGAATGAGTAAGTTAGTATTTTTTCTTCAGTCAACAACTTTTTACCTCTCCTAAACATATTTGAGTTTTTATGTATTTATGTATATTTATAATTTGTACTAGGAGTACCAGTTACTGTTGAAATTCGACCGTTTTTCTAGTTTTTTTAAGAGCCTTGGAGAGGTAAGTACGCCGCTTAAATTGTATGGCACGAAATTATCTACCAGAAAATCTCCTGCGTTGGAACTAAAACGGTACCACAATTTTTTATATCTTTGAGGGTCTTTGGAGGACTTGGGCAGGACTTAGAATTGATCTCATACATTCTCGATATAAATCGATAACACGACAAAAGTTGGATACCTCTATAAATTATGATAACTCGGGTAATTATGATAGCTCCATTTTTTTCGAAAGCTATCGACAAATTTCGGTAACTCGACATATTTTGAAAATTCCAAAATCTTCGATTCGATAAATCGACAAGTTTTAAGTAAATCAATAAATATCGATAAAACCATAAGTTTAAAGAACTCGATGCATTACGATAACTCGATAAAGTTCGTTAACTCTGTAAATCAAATACTGGTAATTTTGATAGCTTTACAAAAAGGTTTTGGATATAAATTAAAAAAAAAATTTATTTTGATATTTACATGTAAAGTAAATAAATTTCTTTCTTTAAAATTTAGATAGCAACCCTATTTAGAATGAATAGTACATATCTTGAGCGTATATGTATTGTGCATACCTACAAAACAAAGATAAATTGTATAGAATCGAAAATAAGAGGCAACCTTACACTAATAAGATGGCAACCCTACTAAAGTTTTTTTTTGAATTCGGGATTTTTAAGATACTTTCCACTTGGCACACATATTATGATGTGTTAATTAATTTAACTTATTTCGAATAGGTGGCAATCTTATACGAGTCCTCTCGGTTGATAATACCTATTTAGGTGACCTTAAAATGCAAAACATTATCTGTATACAAAATTTCATCAAAATCGTTAGATACTTTCTGAGAACCTTATGGATATACATATATACATACATATATATTAATGTACAGGAATTACTCGTTTAATGTATCTAATAAGATTCAATAAATATATATCAATAACTTGCTAAATTTCACCAATTTTACAAATTTCTATAATCCCATACATTTTTATAGCTTTGCATATACATAACTAAACAATTGAGGAGCTTAAACACATTACACTGATTCCTGTCTTAGCTGGACACCATTCTGACATAGTGCAGAACCTAAATTTAGTGTCCAATTTCCAGTGGGCACCTTCGTGGAGGGTTCAGCCGGAGTATTTTTCGCCAACCACTCTCAAATTATTTGTCTAACGCAATGTAATTCATGGAATCGAATGCAATTGTCACCGATGCATTGCTTAAGGTCTAACTTAAAATATAGGAAAAAAAAATTAGTGAGTTGCCACCTGTTTGAAAATTGCATTTTTAGTAAACCGATAAGATAAAGTAAATATTGCAATATGACTTTTAAAAGAAAGAGGTTAAGAAGCTTGTGGAAGCTTGCCACCTGCTTGAAAATTTTAATTTGATTGAATTTATAAAATAAATTAAATATTGCAATATGGGTATCAAGCTATAGATGTTTAGGAAAGTTTACTGCCAAAAATATTTTTGAGGATGGCTACCACCTGTTTGAATTTTTTTAATCAAATTGATAATCTAAATGAAATATTACAATACGGACATCAAACTAAAGAGATTTTAGAAAGTTTACTGCCGAAAATATTTTTGTGGCGGATTGCCACCTATTTAAAACATTTTATTCAGTTAAATTGATAACATACAGAAATACTGAGTTACTCCACCTTTGAAGAAAGTGCACGATATATAGCATGGAGTTGAAAAGATTATAAATTAAATTTCCAGGATTAAATGCATTCGAAAATATATTAACTCAAACTTAAAAGAATAAAGTATGTTTCATAAATCGAAAATTTGTTTGAAAATCTCACTTCATGAAGCTCTTCAATTCTTTTTTTATGAATGAAGCCATAAGAGGTTTGGGGCGGAGTAACAATAAATAGATATAAATACATTTAAGGCGCAGTGAAGCCCGTCGGATATTTGCTAGTAAATAATAATTATAATAATTCCGATGGAAAACAGTGCCGATTGGTTGTTTTTTTTTTTTTTTGTAATGAAGAGTGATGTACCTCAATGTACTACGTATACTCACATGAATGAATAAACAACTTGATTTTTGCATTAAAAACTATTTTTTATTTTTTTTTATTTGCAAACATATGTATGAATAGTACATACATAAGTATGTACATGCGTATGTACATACATAGGAATATCTTTAAATATTTTTGTACTCAAATAATTGAAGCCCAGATTTGGACGGATACCAGGAATTCGCGTCCACTTGCCAATACCCGTTTCAGCTAGTGCCAAGAAGCAGCTTTGTGTGTGTGCGTATGTTCAAAAGAGCTCACCCTGCAAGACAGCTGAGTATCATATGAGTACTCATATTATCATTATCCCTAATCACAAAAGTGCTTATCAAAGTCCTCATTTTCGTTCAGGCCATGGGTAAAAATTGAGTACTTTCCCCTCAATGTTGTCATCAGAAAGTCCTCAGTACTAATAGTCAAACTACTCATTTATGCCGTACTACAAAAACAAAAGTGTAGATGTGTGAGAATTTTTGCCTAAAGTGCTCAGCAATGTCTTGTAGGGCAGTTTCCTGATTATTTACAACACATCGCCACTCCCTAACAATTCGCAGACAACAACCACATACATACATATATGTAGAGTAACACCGTTCAGCAAACAAGCCGGCTTAAGCAAAACAACTAACAAATTAACAATCGATGAATTTTTAAAGCTGGAATTTCCAAGCTTTACTTTGACGAATAACAAAGTCTGCTCATTTACTGGGTATTCGTGATAACTCGTTGTTGGGTTTTAAATGTGTTACAGCAATATACATACATAAACATACATACATACATATATACAGTGACTCAAACAAGTGACTACGTGTTAATTTTTTTTAATATTCACAATGTTTTTCAAATCAAATTTTTTTATAAAAATATTGTCCAAGCTTTCACAAAAACCAAATACACAAAAAAAAAACTTAAAAAAATCATAAAAAACTACATAATCAAAAATTTTCTAAAAATTGAGATTAAAACGTTTGAGATTTTGATGACAATTTGTTGACTTTTATTAAATTTTGTAACTTTGATTTATACAGTTCGGTTAAAGTTTAGACAATACTTTTATAGAAATACAAAAAAAAATTAACTTGAAAAACATTGTAAAAAAAAGACAACGACCACGTGTTTAAGTCACTGTTTGTACGTATGTAATTATGTAGTTGAGAAGAGTAATTGCCGGTGTCGAATGTGGCTCTTGGTTGTGCCGTCCGCTCAATAACCAACGTACATATATGTATGTATATCTATGCAAAAAACCGAGCGTGGCTTATTTTTGTGATAATGTAATTAACAAATTTTTGTTTGTTTTGATTTTGTTTAGTCACCGTGAGTTTTGTGTTTTATATTTATATGCATACACACAAAAGTATATAGTTATGTGCATATTTATGTGTTGTTGTATGTCTGTAAATATTTTTGTGCTAAATGCCTTTTTCTACGATTTTCCATGCGCATGCGCGTGTGCTTTTAAATAATGTCCTTGCATAGCACAAGGATATCATGATTTGTGTTGTGTATAAATAACACTGATCAAGTGTGGCGCAAGCCCAACTTCATGCCCATTTTATCAAGAATATCCCTCTGCAAAACATATACTAGATGAGTGTCAATCCTTAAACACAATGCGCATGCAAACATTAGATTCAACACCGCCATCTCTTAAATAAAATAAACTACAGCAATGTCAAGGAAATACTGAGCTATTTTAAAAACATTAATTTCAATATTAATATTTAAAATATAGTATGTTTAGACTAATAAATACAAAGGCATTTATGAAACTTCACTTACGTTAATATAGAAAGGCCCTAACTCATATAGTCGCTGAAACGCAAAAAAGCAGTAACTGACTAAAATTTGTTATTGCTCAAAATGATGT